AAAAAAAAAAACAAAAAAAAAACACAACCGCCTTTTCGAACTCCGCCTTGACACCACTGCCGGCCTTGAGTTACGAACGCCTTTTCGAACTCAGGCCCTGACACAGACGCCGAAGGCTGTTTTTTGTGCCCATTACAAACTCCCATGTGACATAAACATACTTCCCCCAAAAGAAAAAAAGAAAAAAAAAGAGCTACCGCCTTGAGATATCATCATTTGACCTGACCGGCCCCAGGTGATTCAGAATTGCAGTATTTTATTTTATTCTTCTGCTCTCACTGGAGTTCGAACTCAGGTCTGTGTTTCAACAGTTCAGTGATGTACCACATGAGCTAGAGGCCCAGGGCAGTTGGTAGCAGCATTTGTTTCATTTTTTGAACATTTTTAACTTTTTATCATTTATTTTGCCTTTTCTATTCACAATTATAACTGTGTAAGCGGGACCACGCCCCAGTTCTGGAAAAAAAGTCTCTTTATAGTCGGACTCCTTTCTTTTAGGGGACAACTCCTACTCAGTCAAGATCCATGATGTTCTCTTATATTGCAGGCAAACAGAAATCTTGCAGACTGTTTCGTCACAGGACTCATGGTCAAGAGGAAGTTTGTTTCCAAGACCGCAATGGAAACTTCAGGCCAACAGAAAAGTAGAGACGAGCTAAAGGAGAAAAAGGCCCAGGTACAGTGAATCTAGGGCCCTAGAGGCTCGCCACACAGGCTGTCTAAAACCAGGTTTTGGAAAATTTTGCATAGCCACATAGAATTCCGAAGAATTGCGGCTCAAAAAACTTTCTACAGCCGCCCTCCAGCAACCGTTTCCACCACTGCAGCCTGCAGGTGACGGAAATTCGACAGTGGACCGCTGACCTTTCAAAAATTGCGTTCACATTTGCGTTGTCAGGTTCGAATTTGCATTGTCAGGGACTGTTCCGTGACACCCGTCCGCCTGGCCATGACCAAAAGCCTTGCCCCTCGAAAGGCTATGTGGCGAAGAGGGGAAAACTGTCGACGGCTGTATCATTGTGGATGTATCTAACTGCAATGATGTCTGGAATCACGTCCGTAGCTGAGTCTAGGGGCCTCGCCGCACAGTGCAAGAAACGAAAAAAGTCTTCGCCGCATAGCACCCTCACGAACTGTGTCAGAAAAAACTCGTGAATGCTGTCAGCCTCCGAGTTCGCGAGGCCTCACGAGTGTGCCTCCTCCCTGCCTGCAGCCCTCGCGAACTCGTAGGTCCTCCGCTAGTAGGCTGGAGGAGCTGCGAAATTTCACGAGTGTGCTGCATTGCTCCAAACGAAGTCCATCCAAGAACCTTGGACCGTAGCGTCCACAAATTTGGACTGTAGCGAAACGAATCCCCCACTACTGTCGCCAGGGCGTTGTCGTTAGAGTTTTTTTTTGTTTTTTTTTTGGTCTTTAGAGTTTTCGTGTGTGCTGTGGGGCGGTGAGGCAAAAAACGAAGAGAAACGGTGTATCAGGGCTTCGTGAGGCCGCACGACTCTGGTGATCGTTTCTTTTCGTTAGTTGTGCCGTGCGGCGAGGCCCTAGAAGGGTTCGCTTCACTACTCACCACACGCACAAAAACAAAAATTATGGGTGTCTATTTAACAAAAATTATGGGTGTCTATTTCCGTGTTCCAGCGGAAGATTCGTTCTCATTTTGCACAATTGCTGAGTGGTGAAGCAACGTCCGTAGTGTCAGTAGGGCCTCAAAGTTAACGATGTCCTGCCTATTATTACGAAAACAAAAGAGACATTGTCAGGAGTATCCGTTGTCCAAAAACGGAGCCACGCTGCATTACTCCACACGTGACATTCCGAATGTATTGGGTCCAGATACATGTGGAGAATCGTAGACTCTTTTTGCGGTGAAGCCAGGCCGATCTTGAATCTATACCCTAACCATTAGGGGCAAGGGGCAACATGAAATCTCCCCTTCACAGAGAGAGGAAACTATGCTTGCAGGGGTCCCGTCTAGATAGTCTTAGGAGTAGGTAGTGGAAGGTAAAAGAAAAACAGAAGTTGAGAGAAGAATATAGAAAAAATAAATAAAAATTTAAAAAATTTTAAAAAAAATCTATCTTCAACTACGGCACACATAACACATCTTTGGAGGCCGCTGTAGTGTGCGGACCCCAATTTTTTTTTTCTTGTGGAATTATTATTTTTCTGAGTTAGGGGAATGGGTGTGCCATCCAACCCTACCACTCCTGAATTTCTTTTCCCACCCCTATTTTAAGGGATGCGGCGCACCAAGTGCGCGCGCATGCATTCGCGAGCGCTTTGCGGCGCGCACGTGATGCGCCGCAAGTATCCAGACTTTTGGCCGGTCGGTCAGTCCGGCTGTATTTTCTTTTTTTTTTTTCTTTTTTTTTCTTTTTTAGCTCGCAACGGAATTCTCCAAAATTAAGAGAAACAACATTTACTTAAAATCAGGAGCACACTCTCACGTAACGCCAACCCCCGTTTGCTTGTAAGAGAGAAGATGAACGTCTAGCTCCATGGCACCGCCAATTGTGAGAAGAGTATGACTAGCACACTACCTGCTAACTCCCAAAACAACGAATTTGGACGGAAGCACTTGGCCCACATACCAGCAGCATGTGTCGTCTGGCGACCCACCCGTCTGGCGACCCACCCGCAAAAGCGGGGGTAGAGACAGAGAGATGACCGCCGGCAAAATCAAAACCCTATATTCCGGTGAAAAGCATATCCATTTTCTCATCATCGTCCGATCATCATCTGTAAAGATAAATCCGCAACCTAAGAAGAAAATTTTAACTGGCGGCCACTCCAGCGTCGATCGATTTCACTTGGCATACTTGTCCTCCCTCTAGTCTCTTCTCCCTACAGACACTCGTTGGCCGTTCTGCCTCCACCGTCCAGAGTGCAAGAACCTCCTCCTGTAGTCTATTCGTCATCATCCTCATCACCATCTCCTCCAGATGCCTTCTTCGTGGCGGCCTTAGCATTCTTCCTTGCAACACGACCCGGACATCCTCCGCCGAACGGACTCGTCAGCGCAAAGTCTATGTGCTTCTGGCTATCCACCCGCACAAGGAACGACGGGATGTTCACAATTTGCTTCCCCACTCGAATGTGCCGTTGACGGATGAGCACACGAGCGTGATGGATATCGACTTGGCCAGCCCAGTCTTGAAGACGAGTGTTTGTAATCTCCTCCTCTCCAAGAAATTCTCCACCGTCGATGCCAATACGTAATCGAGCTTGTTCTGCGACTCGTCCAGAAGACCGTACCTGTTCATCCTCCTCAACAATGCCTCTCCCTCGAAGATTCTTCGAGTATTCTTCTCGTCGAGAGTCAACAACGTACGGGCATTGTTTCGGATTCGGCTAAGTGCATACTGAACGCGCCACAGCTCTCGCTTGTTACGGAGCCCATACGCTCCAACGAGCTTCAGCTCGGCATCAAACCGTTCCTTCTCATAAGGACGTCTCGGCTTCTTAAAGGTTTTCTCATAGTTCCTGTAGTAGCTAATCTTCACCATGGCTGCTAGCTTACTCCTCGAGCTGCGCCGCTCTCGACGACAGGAGGAGAAAGTGCCTGACTACTACCACGTCGACCTGCCGAAAGAGATTTCTATTTATTTTCGGCTTTGCAATTAAGTGTGACTTAGTTTATCGAACTGCCGTTACGCAACTGGATGCACATTGTTGCATAGTGCACGTTCTGAATCTCCCGTACGTGGTCGCAATAGCAGGATCCAGGGCTCCTTCGGGATGTGGACGTTTTTGGAGATGGATGCACATCTAGTCAGGTGTTGCATAGGAGTACATCTTCCTAACGAGTCCATTTAGTGGACGGATGAAACCGGTAGAAGGATTCTACTATGCCTACTACCTGGGGAGAGTGAGCTATGGTGTTCTTGAGTTGCAAGGTTACGCTTGGGGGTGAATGATGCGGGATGTGTGATCTCTTCTGAGGCAATTTTGGCAAACTGGCATGGCAGTTTTGTGCTTGTATGGAAGACTCTTCAAGTTGAGTGTTTGTCTGCTAAGCTCACTCACAGGTGGATAAACGGAACTCCTGGATATCTATGCCTCCCCTGAAAGACTGTGTCGCTGCAGCCTGCCACTCTCTCTCTCTCTCTCTCTCTCTCTCTCTCTCTCTCTCTCTCTCTCTCTCTCTCTCTCTCTCTCTCTCCCCACGGGAATGCGCTTTCAGGTGAGAGAGAAGAGAGAGAGAGCAGGGGCCTTTCTCGAACGAGCCCAGCCACATTTCTGCTCTAGATTCAGAGAAGAAATATTTGGAAAAGGCCCCTGCTCTCTCTCTCTCTCTCTCTCTCTCTCTCTCGCGGGGCCTTGGCCAAGTTGGCCAAGGTTACGGGAGAACCCATGCTAGGGACCCTGTGGGAAATGCTTCGGATTTTGTGTACCTGAAAGGTTGGGGCTTGAACACACGACTTGCAAGGGGAGACGGTTACTAATAAGCCTGTTAGTACACTGCAACCCAAGCCACGCGACAGGCTGTAACTGCTCAATGAAGAGACGTACACAGGTGTCCGGGCTAAGATGAGCACCTGGTACGGCCGACGGTTTTGTTTTCAGTATTGTGTTTTCGGTATTTAGTTCGCACGGCGTTGATTTTGTTTGAGCGGCTTTATTTGGTTTAGTCGTGAGCTTCTCGTTGTTCACGTCTTTGATGAGTTTTCTCATCTGGATTGTGACAAGCTGATCGCTATTGTGTATAGTATAATCCTTTTGCAATAATTGCTTTTGACATGTATCTCATTGTTCATCTCGTATGCTTCTAAAAAAATTATGCATGCATGATAGAATGCATTGTCTATCACAGTCTATGGGCGGATCTTTCATTTCTAGTATCCTCATGCCGTGATTGATACTTCCGGGTCAGCCCATCATCATCACCTCGTGCTCTGGAGCCTGTTGAATAAAATGAGGAGGAAGGGTAAGAACAAAAAGAAAACAGAGAGAGAGAGAGAGAGAGAGAGAGAGAGAGAGAGAGAGAGAGAGAGAGAGAGAGAGAGAGAGAGAGGATATAAAGATTACGCACGCACCTTCTGATGATGTCTTCACATTTGTCGGTCCAAGGAGGAGGGCAACGTAACCATCAGTCTCTTGGTGGCCCTTCCAATAAAGTGGCCGATGAATTCTGCACTGGTGACTGATCCTCCAACCACCTGTGTCTACTCTGTTCGCACTGTTGTCTCTGTGGACTCCTCGTTCCCCCAAGACAATCGCTGGTCTCCCTCTGCCCCACCAGCCAACCCCAAGTGAATGCGCCCGCGGGGGCAACCGCCTCATGTGGGAAGCAACTCCTGGTCCAATCCTCAAGCTCGTGCGTATCTACCATCCACACACCTAGAGATTTGTACACAGACACATATAAGTGTTCCGTCATTCATGCAAGGGCCGTTTTCATCATGTGCATGTGAATTGTTACAGTTCCTTTCCAAAAGTAAACATAAACAAAGAAAAGGGGTCCCCTTTTCAGCTCCACCAATTCAATTCTAGAGGCACAATTGCAGAAACTTTGCAATGGTTCGCGTCAAATAACCTTTAGAGCAAAAGCGGACGCGAAAAGGGTGGGGGAAGCAGAGACATGCAAGAACTGCCATGGGACTGTCGTAGTTGCAAAAGTCAGAAGCTTGACAGTACACACCACACTCAAATCTTTCCTGCTGAATCCGACTGTAATAAGGCTAAGAATGCACCACCCAGCAAATCCCCGTGGGATTTTGCCCCTCGAACCCACGTCCAGCAAGTGGCAGCAACTACTAGTTCTCCAACTTGCTCCTCCTGAATGGGACCATAATTAGCCCAGGCAGCAGTCGATTCCCAAAAATCCGACAGCTAGCATGGGCGGGCTTAACTACCCCTAATTCCCTGTGTCTCGCTCTGGTCCTGCTGAATCCGGGCATAATCAGTGCAGTAGCGCATCCTGGAAAAGGCAGAGTACGTATGGCTAGATGTGGTTGCCTATTTCTCCTTCGGCTGCCGCTGAATCAGAGACCCTAATGAGGCAAAAAATGAATCTCGGTAAATTCCCCCCCCCTGAGTATGCCAAGACCCAGGTCTAACCTCCCCACACGACAGTTGAAATTCTTCCGGAATTCTTTCTTCGTTTTCCTGATGAATCAGACCGTGATTAAGGTAAGACCTCGTGAACGCGACTCCCAGAAAATCCCAGAACGAGTATGCGCAGTTCTTTCTTCTTTTGCAAAAGCGGGGGACAGCGTTCAGATGTTACATCCGGAAGCCTTAGGTCTTACTGCAGGTACTTGCCTGATTATCTTCTTCAAAATAAAGTAAAAGAAAAATTAAAAATAAAATGAAAGAGAGCAATTCCTACATCCGGCAGGTCTAACTGCAGGTCCTTGGCTGATTATCTTCTTCAAAATGAAGTAAGTGAACAAGCAAAAAAAAACAAAAAGAGCAATTCCTCCCGCAGCAAAATAAGTGCTGCCGGAAAATCTCAGTGGTAGTAGGCGCTAAGAATCCACGACGACCGGGTCTAGACCCACGTCCTACATCCCTTGCCCGGGGTGATCCTTCCCCCGGATTCTCCGTTCCTGGTCGTTTATCACCGTAATAGACGTTCACTTCCCCTAGATTCTCCGTTCTTGGTCGATTGCCTCCATAATCGACGGTTACTACGATTATTAGCAAATGGAAACTTAAGTGAAAGGACCACGGTAACGCTAGATCTGTCTCTTATACACATCTAGATGTGTATAAGAGACAGAGAGAGAGCAGGGGCCTTTCTCGAACGAGCCCA